CCCATGGCCGCCGCGGTCCCTCCCCTCCCTGCCCCCCTGCGAGGCCGGGCAGGGCTATCCGACGGGGAACGGAGCCCCAGGGAGACTAAGCCCCGGTCAGACAGGCAATCTTCGGCGGAGCAGGGAACTGAGCCCACACCTCGCGTCCTGGGCTAGAGCCCCATTCACTGGCCTTTGGTAGGGCCCCGCCCAGCTCCGCGACTCAGTTTCCCCATTGGCACAGTGGACGTTATGACACTGACCATCTTTGCAAAAGTCCACAGGTAAGAACCTCCGTGTGTAACTGATGTCGAGGTCAACAGAGCGAAGACAATTCGCACCAGCTGGGGGTCTGGCCCCATTGACTGTAACAGAGCTCTGGGCGGTTCACACCAGCTGGGGGTCTGGCCCCACTCACTGTAACGGAGCTCTGGGCAGTTCCCACCAGCTGGGGGTCTGGCCCCATTGACCCCAATGGAGCTCTGGGCGGTTCCCGCCAGCTGGGGTCTGGCCCCGCGACTCCCTGGCCCCGGCACCGACAAACCTTTCGTGCCCCGCAAGGCTTCCAGCAGGAAATGAGCCTCCTCCTGGATCCGCTCCTCGATGCCTCGCTTCCCCACCCCGCAGTTCCTCAGCGTGGTGATGGAGAACCGGCGCAGCTGCTTCGCCCGCTCCCCGTTGGCGAAGATCACTCCTGGGGGGCAGAGAGAGCAAGGCACATTTCCCAACCGGTACATGCCGCGGGGTGCTGTCCAAGCATATCACCGTAACAGACAATTCCTGCCCCGCAAAATGCGGCGGTGGGGGGGCGCGTGCACCTGGGCGTGCACACACACGTGCACGGTGGGGAATTGTGCAGCAATTCCCCAGGTAATATTGTCCCTATTTCCCCCTCTCCAACTTGCAATGAGAGCTGCAGCTCTGCGTCTCGAGCAGGTCGGAGGCAGCTCCCTGCTTTGATCTGTGGCAAATATTTTCGCAGTTGCGGGGAACGGCCAAGCCAGACACCCTGTGACGTTACTCACGTAACCTGGGACCGTATAGATCATTGTCGCAAGCACTGTTATCTATTTGCAGCAAGTATTGTCCAGAGGTTGTGGAGTGAGGTGTCTCTGGAAAGGTTCTGCTTGGCTGGTTAGGATGATGCTGTCTGTGTGCGTGTAGCATTTTTGTAGTTAAAATTAAAATTAAATTAAATTAATGGAGATGTCCTATCTCCTAGAACTGGAAGGGACCTTGAAAGGTCATTGAGTCCAGCCCCCTGCCTTCACTAGCAGGACCAAGTACTGATTTTGCCCCAGATCCCTAAGTGGCCCCCTCAAGGATTGAACTCACAACCCTGGGTTTAGCAGGCCAATGCTCAAACCACTGAGTTATCCCTCCCCCCCAGTTGAAGTTATGAATATTGGCTCTGTACTCGTATCTCAATGTGTTTGATTCTAAGTAGCCTCAGCGAAGCACGTGGGCAGCTTCTGGAGAAAGGATTATTCTCAGTAAGTGCCCAGTCAAGAAACACTTCACGGGCCATGGACTTCGGGAGATGCCAATCCCCATCTGAGTTTCCCTGGTGTGGCGGAGCAGGGAGCAGGGCAGATTTGACCTGGGAATGTTGCAGGGGGCTTGCAGTGGGGATGGGGGACTTCCCTTG